GGTACGCGGGCCTCTCACTGTTGTGGCCTCTCCCGTTGCGGAGCACAGGCTCCGGACGTGCAGGCTCAGCGGCCATGGCTCACAGGCCCAGCCGCTCCGCGGCATGTGGGATCTTCCCGGACCGGGGCACGAACCCGTGTCCCCTGCATCGGCAGGCGGACTCTCAACCACTACGCCACCAGGGAAGCCCCATTCGCCAATCTTTTGATGGAGGGCTTGGGTGCTTCTTTGAGATCGACCCACATGGTCTTTTGTGTCTAAACTGCATCTATATTGCATTGTGATTCTCAGGTTCAGTTTCTTTAAATTGGGGCAGATCTTGAAGACATGGGCAAGCAGGAATCCTCTATTTTTCCGTTTCTTTCTCCCTTTTTTTTTTTTTTTACAGTTGTGCTACCTACACCTGATTCAATAGCCTTTTTAAGCAAGTGACTTCTACCAAGTCTTTCCAAAGTCTTGGTTTTAATGAAACGACTCTGTGTCTTTTCTGACTTTTTTCATCAATTTATATAACATTTAATTAAATAATGTAATTATAATAGCAAGTATAACCGCACAGAAAGGTTTGGGATCACAGGTAACCAGCTCGCATAGGTGACTAACTCAGCGGGTGGGGTAAGCGTCAGCGTGTCTTCCCCAGGAATGCAATATGCTGGTTACGGAGGGAGTTGAGTGCTTTCTGCCAGGCACTGTGCTAGGCACCTGGGAAGCATTATCTTACTTGATCTGTAGAACAAACCTGAGCCATAGGGACATGTTTGGTGGGAGATGATACTGGAAACCAAATCAATCTATATCAAGGGCGGCTAATAGGTTTCATCTGATGCTCTAGGCCCCTCCGGAGCAGCGTGCAGAGGAGAATCCTGAAATTGCATTAAGGCCCAGCAGGGAGAGAGTCTGGTCAGTTAGGGAAGCCCACAGTGGTTCCAGGAAGGGAAATGGCAGGACCTAGGCCATGTAGCTTCCACCTGGATCTAGAGCCTTCCGGAAAGTTTTCATGCCTTCAGCCTGTGTCACCTTTCAGCTAAGAAAGTCACAAGTCATAGAACCAAGCAACCAGAGGGGCTGGAGCTGGCTGACCACTTCAGCCTAAGAGATTCTTGACCCTGTGCTTCCACAGCAGGGCAGCCGTGCTTCGAAAGCTTTAATGACTAATTGGTTCTTCTCCCTCCCTCATCCCCACATCTTGCCAGTTTCACTGGCTCTCCTATCTAGGGCTCCTCTGGCCCCACGCGGCCTGGAGCTCCTGCCAAACTGCCGGTCAGCACCTCCCGCAGGGACTGGCTTCCCTCTACCCAGAATGCCCTGCCCACCTCTCTTCTTCTGGCTTAGTTCGGGTACCACCTCCTCCAGGAAGCCTTCCCTATGGCTCCCACCTGTCTGGCTGAACGCCTTGTGTGTTCTGCTACACCTGCAGCAGCTACTTCCCGCTTTAAGTGTTCTGTGTGTGTCCCCCCAGCAGACCGAGAGGCTCCTGGAGGGCAGGGGACAAATTGCACCACAGTCAAGGCTGGCGTGCTTCTCCTGCAGAGCCTGATCCGTGGGGGTGGGGCAAGAACGATGCTAACAGGATTGCTTCCAGCTCTGCCTTCCTCTGTCTGCTCAAGGATTTTGCCTCTTCTGCTGTTCCCTTCCCTTCTTGCCCTCAAGGAAGAGTTCTGCTTTGGCTTTCTGGGCTCTTGTGACATAGAATCAAAAAGAGATGGGGATGGGGGGGGTTGTGGTCCACATGCCCCCTTTACAATATTTGAGAAACGCAAGTAAAGGCCTGACTTATTTTGCAATCGCGTTTTAGGTCCCAGACTGGGTTTCTTTGATTATGAATCCACCGAGACCCGATTTTATGGGCATCGGTTTGATAAGCATTTACGTATTTTTGGCTCATTCACTGACTGACTAAATGCCAACTCTGTAGGTCCTCAGACAAAGGGAGTGGGAGGTGGCAGGAGGTGGCAAGCAGCTCCCCATGTCTCCCTAGGGGCAGATGCAAAGGAACTGGGGAGGATTCTGCCCCCTCCCGCAGCAGGAGGAGGGGGTGTCCAGCAGCCTGTTAAGCAGTGGGAAATCCCTGAGGGGAACACGGTTACCGTTCTCCACATTGGTTTCCCCATCTCTTTGGCAGAGACGCTTACGGATAATTTATTCCTTTTTCCTGACTTGGAATGTTCCGTCTCCCCCATGTTTGATATGCAGGACCTTCAAAATTCTGGGGCAGGGTGGAGAATATGAGGCTAAGGCAGTGGGGGGTAGGGGACATGACACGGGGCTCCATGGCATGGAAATAATGCCTGGATTCTTTGGTGCTGATGAGCAGATACCACAGGGCACAACATACCAAGAGCTTGAAAGGAGACGATGGGAAAGGACATCCCAGGACTCGGGTTATGGTGGCTACTCATTCACCCTATTTCTTCACTCTGCTCCCTGTTCTGTCATCTGTGGTACATGGTCACAGTGTTGAGCTAGGAGTGGGCTTAAGCCGCAAGAAGACTGCTATGCTATGTTGCGAGAGCATGTTTTGTTGGGAGGGGTATGTGTCGTCCAAGCACCAACCCTGGAGGTGGGGTTCGGGGGCCACATTGCCTAGTTCCCACTTGGTGCCTATGCTGTGCAAGGTTTAGAAAAAATAAACCTCCCCAGTGACAGTCAGTTGTCTTGTTTTTTTGTTTCCTTTTATAGACAAGGGCCACAGCCATGGGGGGGCGGGGGAACAGCCCCAGATGACAACTGAGCTCACAAAGACATCACAGAGCAGAGAAGCAGCCAGCCAACGACTCATCCCTTTTGGGTTCGTCTCCCTCAGCTCAAGCATCCTTGCTCACTGTGTCTGCGATTTCAAGCAGGGGGCCAAGCCTCAGCTTAGAGGTCTCTGTGGTGCAAACTCAATCCCATTTCTAGTCCACTCTAATAAACCCCACTCGAAAGGAATAAACCCAAGGAAGTCGGCAGTGTTGACACCTGGCCTCGGCACTTATGTCAGTGGGAAAGAAACGCACCAAGGAGACACTGCGGAGAACATCCCTGGACACAGCCCAGTGCAAACGCTGTTTATCCAAATACTCCTCCGGCAGCAAGGGAAGAAGTTTTTCTTCTTCCTCCCCCTCCAAATGTTGCTGTTAAAACCCGAACCTTGGCTAATTTGCCATTCGATTGCGCTGCCACCTTTTTCCCTGCACGGCAGCTGCGATCGTAAATCTTCCAGGTCTATTAACAAAGCTTTTAGGCTCATAAATCTTTTGACTCTTGCCCTTCCATCCTCAAGAAAACACTCTGTGTGTCTGGAGGCTGAGTTTTTTCCTCTAATTCCCCAAAGGCTGAGTCTAGGATGGTTCCGTCAGTGACGAGCGCTTGTATTCTGCCCACGCCTGATTTTCAGATTGAAAATGGGAAAACACCAGGGAGAAGACTGTCCCGATAGCTTCCCCAAGAAGGAGGTGTCACTAAGTGGATTCACCCGGGCTCTGCCAGCAGGCAGGGAGGAGGGGGGCCTCCCCCTCTGCAGTGGCTTGAGCCCCCGGACCACTTGCTTGGGGACCTGGCGTCCCTGAGATTTTCCCATCATGCCGCAGCAGGGCTGCCCCACTCTGCCCAGCTCTCATCCTCAGAAGCGGACAGCCCCAGCACCAGCCATGCCTGCTTCTCTGAGGAGAGGCCAGCTTTTTTTTTTTTTTTCCCCCTGGCTCACTCTTGGATGGATTTGCAATTTGACTGTCACCATGGAAACTCAGAGTTTTGGTACATGAAGGTGGGGGGAAGTCTTCCCTTTTGGAAAGTCTTTCCTGACTGCCTCAAAGAACATGTGGCAGCTGCTGGCTTGTGGAGATACCTTGCCTGGGACGGTCCAGGGGACAGGCAGGATGCTGGCCACTGGACCTCACAGCACTGCACCGGGATTTGGGGGACCTGCTTCCTGCCTCTGCTCTGCCACCATCTCTCTTTGTTACCCTGGGGA